CAGTGGTGGGATTCAGCCAGTTCGCACTTATCCAGAAGAACCGGTTGTTAACTTTCCAAGCAGTTGGGAGAACCGGTTGTTGGAAGAAATCTCCTTTTGTTTTTTTTCCACTTTACAGGGCTAATCCTGTAAGGAAGGCAGGAAGGAAACATTCTGGTGTTGTTTCTAGCCTCATCTTTATTGCCCTGCTTACAGAAACTGCCTCTCCAGTTAACCCTTATTACCATTGTAACAGCTAAAGCAAAGCACCCATCGGAGTCAGTGACTTTGAGTTGGCTACGCCCACATGGTCACATGACCACCAAGCCCCACCTACCCTGCTGGTCATTAGGGCAGAGAACCGGTTGTTAACTTTCCAAGCAGTTGGGAGAACCGGTTGTTGGAAGAAATCTCCTTTTGTTTTTTTTCCACTTTACAGGGCTAATCCTGTAAGGAAGGCAGGAAGGAAACATTCTGGTGTTGTTTCTAGCCTCATCTCTATTGCCCTGCTTACAGAAACTGCCTCTCCAGTTAACCCTTATTACCATTGTAACAGCTAAAGTGAAGCGCCCATCAACGTGAGTGATGTTGAGTTGGCTACACCCACATGGTCACATGACCACCAAGCCCCACCTACCCTGCTGGTCATTAGGACAGAGAACCGGTTGTTAAATTATTTGAATCCCATCACTGGTAAGTGAGTGAGTGAGTGAGTGAGTGAGTGAGTGTGTGTGTGTGTGTAAACTTTAACATCACCATAAAGAGAAGAGTAACAAACACATCAAACAGAACAGCAATGGATCAGTCTGGGGACAGGTCAAGGCCCCTATAGATAAAAAGGAGCTATCATAATCCAGAACAAAATGGTGGAAGAAGGGAAAACATAACAATGAACATGACACGAGGATAACTTGCCCAGAGTTAAACACACATTTACTTAGAGGGAGAACTGTCCCTAGCTCTTATAAATCTGATAGCACATCCCATTGATATTTGGGTATAAATGATAACAATCCTGTAACTAAAACCAAGGAATGTGCTTCATCCACAGGACAGCAAGCTTATTGGAGAATATGATTGAAGACCATTTGGGGAATATCTTTTACTTAGCTTGGTATCTAGTCAGTCTGCCCAGATTATCAGTGATGGCAGTAGGAACAATGGAAGATGGTAGCTTCCATAGATTATCAGAAGACGGAGTTACACTTTGAATCTATGCAATAGGTTATGACCTCAACCAAAAGACTTATGCAAGAAACCAATGGAGGTGCTTTGTTATAAGAGTTATAGCCCTGAGGGAGCTGGAATCACAGCAACTGCTTTAATACTTCCCCTGGGTATTACTGAAGCTAGATTCATTACTTATTAGTAGTGAGTCACACCAACTGTTATGCATGTAAATTATACAGATCTGGTGTACAGGCTTCAGCTCAATATATTTGGAAATAATAAAACAATCTTAATTTCAGGCTATATATACGGGCTATATGTATATGTAGAAAATCTGTATGAAACAGATTTTACGATAAACTGAGCAGAGCAATAGATTTAAACTAGAAATGGGTTAAATACTGCATATAACTTGATAAATTATATTAACCTCTTTGTACTAGGAACCTTAATAGTTGAATCTAATTAGATAAGTGATCATAAGAATATAAGAATACAAGAACTATGTCACATCTTTATCATAAATTCTAACCTTCCCACAGTTAAGTAAGTGAGGTGCATTCTGCTCTTGCCAATAGGCAGTGAATTACCAGCATCTAACTTAACGTCAATTTCACTTAGTATCTTAATGTAACTCTAAGTATTTTTATACCAACCACAGATTTCTTCTCCTTGAAAGCCTTCTGCCCTGAATGAAAAAAAAGCTGCCCATGAATAAAGTTCAATCTACCATTCTCCATTTTTGTAGGGCTCCATGAAAAACATGGCCTTCCTGCGTCTGTAACTGTTCGGACCCCACTCGTCCTGCACCAAAGCACGCCGAGACAAAGATACTTCAAGGATTTATTAACACACAGACAAGACCTTGACAGCAATCCAGCACAGTCCAGAGGTTGGCAGAAATCCAGCACAGGCTAACCTTGGCAGCTATCCAGCCTGCCAAGCTAGCCACGAGAGTTCTCCAGCTCTAATGAATACGTTGACTCCTGCAAGGGCGTGTGCACAATCATTCCTTTCATAGTCTTGAGAGGAGCCTAATGACCACCAACTGAGTGCAATTATCTCCTGTAACTATGTAACTGTTCCTTACGCCTATTAGCTCTCCGTTGCCGGGCATCCAGGACCAACTCCCTTGTCTTCTCCCCACTGCTCCAATGCATGACGTCAGGATCACACTCCCTTGTCTCCTGCCCACTGGTCCAAGGCTCAGGCGCCTCCTGGTGGTCAACTAGCCTCTCTGCACCCTGCTCGGAGTCGGAACCCTGTCCAGGGTCCTCCACATCCTCCAGAGCTGACTCATAGGGCCCCTCACTGTTGGAGTCTGGTGGCAGCTCCAACGGCTCCTGCTGGGCCACAACAGTAATCTAGGACAATTACTTCAAAGAACAGATAGCACCTTGACATACTACATTCTCAAGGTTAATGTTCCCCATCTTCCAAAATGCTGACTTTCTCCTGGCAAATACTGTGGACCGTAAGAATGATCCATCCCAACAAAAGAATAGCATCTTATGAGGAGAGGAAAGATCGATAAGCACAACACAAGATGTAGAGAAAAAGATTTAGGACTCTCTGAAACACCATCATCTAATGCCAACAACCCTGTGGGTAATGGGTATGTGTACATGAGAGAAAATTCAGTTTATCAATTTTATTTCCACTGATATTTAACTTCTGGCTACATGAAGAGCGAATACATTAATTTAATTTAATTAAATATTACATATATTAATTAAAATGCATTAAGAATTCTTAACCTTAGGAAAATTGGGTATCAGAAAGCCATGTAAACTGGCTTCTTGTGCGGTGGAATGCAATAGAAAAAAATGTCCAGCTTTCTTTTACTTCTCCCGTGTTAAGATTTATTTATTAAATCTAATTTATACCCTTCAGAAAATTCAGCACTCTTTTTGGTCATTCCAGGTAGGAATTCTGGAAATTGCAGTCCCGAGAAAACCGAAGGGAAATACATGGAGAAAAGCTCTTCTAATCAAATAACAAACTCATTGGGCTATTGTGTAACACGTACTGTGAAGCAAGTTGTGGTCTGTGCAAAGACACACTCTGGCTACGCTTCCAAGGTCTATTTTTCTGGCGGTTTCGGACACCATCCTCCTGGTCCATCATCTGTTCAAGCAGGGTCTGATCATCTGCATTCAGTGGTGCCACTGAAATATCCCGGACAGCTCGGAACTCACCACAGTTATTCAGATGCTCATTCTCTAATCGGAAGAAATTCCACACAAACCGCCTGAAAAGTGGAAGATAATAAGCAGCTAAAACAAAGATTTGAAGATATTAACATAGACTAACACTAATGCATACATGTATTTTATAAGGAAAATCAATTTTCCACTTCTCCCCAAAGGAATGACAAAGAAATAAACTAAAGCCAGGGAACATTTGCATTAATTTTCCAACTGACTAATCCGTGACCCGTCAAAACCGCGTTCCACAAAAGCNGTATATAAGTCTACTGCTATTGCTATTGCTATTGATGCTCTATGATCAGAATATATTTTGCCCCTGTTGCAAGCTCCTTGCCATGAATAGCTTTGTTTTCTAAACAATTCAAATCAAAGAAGGCTTGCATAAGTTGAATGTTGTCCTGCAAAGTAATCTTTAGATTCTAGAATCTAGTTTGTATACAAAAGCAGTGGAGTTCAGGTTCATTCTAATCCGGAAGGGGGGAAAAATTGCTAGAAAGAGAAAACCATCTGTGACACGTTATGAACACACGAGCTTGAACAAGGTGTGAGAGAACTGAAAAAGTGATAAACCTTTAGAGAGTCAAGAAAGACTGAGAATGCTGATTAAAGAATAGCTGCTTAGAAAGAGCTCTGTTATTAATGTTTTATAGCAACGGCATGAATATAAATATAAAACCACCAAGACGGTTTATGATGAAAGGTTGACAGGAAGCAATTAGTGAAGGGTACAAGAGCAATGAGAAGTTTTGAATGTGAGACAGACCATTTTTTGAAACTATCAAAAATGGATTGAGGGAAAATGGAAAAGGAAGAAGAGGGGAAAAGTGAAATGGGAATGACTTCAGGGAGATACAAGTTCTTTATAAAAAAATAATTAAAAATGTATTAATAGAAGGAATTAAAGAATTTCAAAGAATAAAAATGAAAAGTGGCGGAGAAAATGAGCAATGTTTTCATGGAAATAAAAAAAGTTCTGGAAGTAGGAACATTGTACCTTCCACTCCAAATTCTCACAAGCAGGCTAGAAGGATACTCAGGTTGATGGGATTGAAAGCCATCGAAAGATCAAGAAGCCCAGGACAGTTGCTCTAACAACATCCCAAATTCACAACAAGTCAACCACAAATGCTACCAATGCTGTCTCCATACTACGTCTGCGCCTGAAATATGACTGAAGGGGGTTCAGATAATCAGTTTCTTCCCTTTTTTTAATCTTCCATGAAAAGAAAAGATTGGAAATGTGATTAAAATTGTCCAAGATGCTTTTTGAGGAAAGGGTGCACCACTGCCTCCTTCGATTATAGCATGGATCAAGCTACCTGTCACCTCCCAAGAAGCCTTCACCAACTAGGAGTGTACTTGCATAGTAGCATGAAGATGAAAAATTTGAACAATAAATGATAGCAAGATAAAGAGTAAGAAAAAATGAAAGAGGTAACAATGGATGTATTTTGAATTTCAGATGAGCTTTAATCTGCAACATGATTATATGGCAAGTGCATTGTACTCTGTTACATTTCCTAAATTATGCTGTGCTATATTGTGAAGCTAAGAGATCTTATAATTTGAGGACAGAGGAAAAATTGGATGCTGGCTGGAATTCAAAGCCAAAAGTTGTTCATTACTTTCTCAAATAATTATTTCAATCAACAACCAATTAAAAGCTGCTAATAACAAAATGAATTCAAAATTCTCCTTGAGAAATATGTGATCAAATTACAAGAAAGGATTATCAAAAGCTAAATCTCCAGAGGGTAGAAGATAGAACAACAAGGATTATACTAAAATGATTTAGACAGGACTGCAGTAAATGTAGCACTAATGGAAGCTGAGAAGGGAAAACAGACAATAAGGATGGCAAAATTCTTCATGCCTGTATGTCACAGTTCCACAAAGAAAGTGGGAAATGATACTGTATTATCTTCCTTGCCTAAGCACACAGGATTAAAAAGAGTGGCATCTCCCATATTTTTTAGCAGGATAATGTTGTTGTGAATGAAATGCAAAATAGGAAAAAAATTATGCATTCTCTTACCCAACTGCTGTAACTCAAGTAATCTGAGAGATATTATGTGGCTCCCAAATTACCATGGCTATAACAAAAAATATATTAAATTTAATCTGCCTTTGATGCATTAGAATAAAAAGCTTTTTTATTGAAGTGATTTCAAATTATTCCTGGTTGGGTTTTAAAAGATGACTGCATTTTATCTTTATTGAAATCAATTTATGGCTGTAGGAATACAAGGTTATAACACTGATAATCATCTGGGCATAAGAACATGGCCGTTCAATTACTCTCAAGGTGAAATTATGTTGTATACAATTTCTCTGAACAGGGAACGGGGAGGCAGAAATGATTAAGAATTGCAACTTAATGCAACAAAAATATGATATAGTCCCTTAAAATTTCCCCCAAATCATATTGTGTTGATGCTGTTGCTATGGAAGAATATACCTGTAAGAGCAGTTTCTGCTACAAAATAATTTAATTCTTTTAGCATCACCATCTTTTCTTTCTATCTGCACTATTGTTTTTAGTTATTCTTTGATTTCTAGTTTTTATTTTTATTCCATATAATTTCATAGTTACTTTTTACTTATGTGAAAATCTTTAATATTAAGTGTCAGTGGTGGGATTCAGCCAGTTCGCACCTATTCAGGAGAACCGGTTGGTAACTTTCTAAGCAGTTCGGAGAACCGGTTGTTGGAAGTAATTTTAATTTGATTTTTTTCCACTTTACAGGGCTAATCCTGTAAGGAAGGCAGGAAGGAAACATTCTGGTGTTGTTTCTAGCCTCATCTCTATTGCCCTGCTTACAGAAACTGCCTCTCCAGTTAACCCTCAATCCATTTTTGATAGTTTCAAAAAATGGTCTGTCTCACATTCAAAACTTCT